TCTGTTAGATGTCGTCCAGGTCGTGGCGGACACACGTACGATGGAAATATCAAAGCCAGCCCAAGGCCTTTACATTCCCTTTTTTGCTCCAGGTAATCACAGTGTGCAGATAAGTGCAATGCACAGCTGAGGCCTTGTCATCTCCTTAATCTGTCTTTTATTCCTCTCTTTAATTCCACAATGTTCAATTTTGCCACCCTAAGCAAATTGCAGGGTTTATTAACTCCTAATACAATCCTAAACTGCTAATGAGATTTTGCCTAATTGAAAATGTGTCATCAGGCCAATCATTTGCGCTTAAAACGGAAGCTTTGAAAAAGAACAGCATCTTATCTATTAGACACGAACCTGGATGCATCTGGAACCAAAGTGTCAATAAAACAGGCCAATTGTGTGAGGTTGTGGCAGGCTGTTTGGTGTGAGGTTCTGAGGTGTATCGAGAGGCACAGCCGAGTGAGTCCAATAGTCTGTGGTCTATTGATAACTCGCGCCTGTTTTAAAATCCTGGCACAACAATGCAACTCGAGCCTCGTGCGCTCCACTGAGCAACAATACCTTCTCTCACTGGCAGCTTCGGCGAAACGACTCCAAATAACAATGAAGGATCTGTTTCCTTTTTTTATCCCATGGGTTTCTCAACCCTGGTACCTTTTGATAAGGATATATTCTAAAGTTTATCCAAGGATGTGCTGTGGAATTTAACAAATGTAAAAATCTGTTTGCATTTCTGGTAAAATAATGAAAGTTTTGGAATATTTGCTGCTTTTCCCCCCCACACACACACACTTCATCCCTCTCCACTCGTTCTTCTCCATGTCGGTCTCAGAGTGCGTGGAGAGCTGGTTGGCTGGGTTAGTAGCTGGGAGGTATGGTGGAGTATAAGCAGGGTTGATGTGGATGGCCCCTGGTCACAGGCCAGGACCTGGCTGTTAAAACGCAGCCTCTTTTGTGCGTCAGAGCCAGCGCTGCCAGTCCCGTTCCACCCCTGTCGCTGAGGGTGGGGAGGCATTCACCCACCGCATGCATTCACTCGACTGGCATTGCTTGATGCAGGGCTAAATGGCATTGTTACAGCGCGCCTCTGCGAAGTGTTGACAGGTCCATATGCTAATTTTAATGAATGCAGGGGAAATGTGGGCTTTATTCACCTCAGCTCAGCTGCAGAATCCTATCTGCACCTAGACTAGCAAAGATAATTGCAGCAAACTCAAATGAGCTCATTAGAAAGTGTATTGAATTTACACATTATTTCCAGTAGTTACGCTGAGTTATTTTCCCCCAGGACTCAATTACATACTCATTTGTGACTCAGGTAAATGGCTGTCTATGTGTGACTTTTTCAACTGCAAAACTGTGGTCACTGAATAATTTGTAAGAAAGCTGTTTCACCAGCACATCTATTGGCATTCATTTGTGAGGATTTCAAAACGAGGCAGAGGAGATAACCACCCCCTTTTTGTTTCTTCGTTCACTTCATTTGATTAACTCATAACATTACATTCATTATTTTGAAAGCGCTTGTCTTCAGTGGGTTTCCTTGTAATGTTTTTGTTCACAACAGCCTCGTTCTGTTGCTGCAGAATGTCTCGTTGAACTTTATGCTGTCAAACATGCCACTGTAAGTCCTTCTTTTTCCCAATTGAAGGACAGAACAGTCAACGTAAACAAGACCTGGTGAGTCAGGGTTCAGTATCAGGGATCGCATCGTCCTACTAAGCCCTGAAATGAACACGAAGCATTCATCGTGTGACTCATTTCTTGAGCCATGTCCTCCCCGAGTCACAATGAGGAGATTGTCAGAGGAGTGGACATGGTGTGGAAACTATGTGGCAAGAAGGAGCGTCCAAAAATTGTCCAGTTGCTGTTTGTTCTGTGTGGAAAAAAGCCTGAGTTGCTGGAAAAAGACAAAGAATTTTGGATGGGTAAGCAGAAGGGTTTTTGTATTGGCTTGCACTGGATGAACTTAAGTGACTCTGGCTTTTGGCGGAGTTCCCAGGAGCGCATCGAAGACTGTCCCAGACTTTTTAGTGACTGAAATATGCCACTGATGTTTTGCATGCACGTTGTAATGTTCCACACTTCAGCTGTGATCTCATGATGTTAGGAAGAGCGGTGTTCTGCAGGGGAACGACTGGACCATCCTCACTGAGTCTGCGCACATAGAAGAGGACTTATCATAAAGGTCATTTTTTTGGATTCACAGGGAGTGTGTTCAAAGCACCTCTCTCTGCTGAGCCAGCAAGCTGTCACATGTGTAAAAGTGAAATATGTGTCATCTGTGCACCTCTTGTGTTGTGATTTTATGATATCGCGGTGAGTGTTGGCTGTCCTCGCCCTTCGGAGTGGCCGTGAGGGGAACGGAGCCAGGCCCCAGTGCTACCACGGCCCTGCGAGCCTCGGTCCAAACCCATCTTCTGCACTCAGCTGTAAATATCACCAACAGCTGGTGGCACACAAGCTAGTCGTGCTTAAACAAATTTCCTGGCTTACATATGGAGAGGCAAGAGGGGCTTGTTTTGCTTCCTTGTCGACAGCAAAAGCAGTAGCCACGGTCCGATACAAAACCACCATACAGAATTAAAGACTTTTGTTCACTGAGCAACCGTTATTTGTTATTTTGGAAATGTGATCAGTCACTCTGAGTTTTAGCTAAACATAAAAGTAACCCTCTACCTTATTTTTACCATGTTCGCTGGTGACTGAAAATGTACGGTGAATCTCTCGGGTTGGAAAAGCAAGACAATTGCACAAATTGGCAGAGGTGTGGACTCAAGTCACATGATTTGGACTCGAGTCAGACTCGAGTCATTATTTTAATGACTTCTGACTTGACTTGATAAAATCTATAAAGATTTACGACTTGACTCGGACTTGAACGCCAATGACTTGCGACTTGAATTGACTTGCACCTGTTGACTTGATGATGACTTGAGCATAATTGATATTTTAGAACAAAAGTGGCTTGACATGGACAAAAATCATAAATCATTCTTGGTTCTGGGTTTGATCTTGTACTGCTAAATGCAGCAGCTCTTTGTTCATAATGAATTTCAGTTGAACTTTCTGCTTGTTTGAGCAAATAAATGAAGCTTTAAGAAGCTTTAATTCCGGAATTTATTTATTATCATCGTCATTAAATTGATGTTGGACAGATGACTTCATTATGACTTGAAAATTCAAAGTTAAAGACTTGGACTTCCACATCATTGACTTTGGACTCGACTTGATTATCTTTGACTCGGACTTGACTCGAAACTTGACTGGAAAGACTTGTGACTTACTTGTGACTTGCAAAGCAGTGTCATGGTCACACCTCTGCAAACTGGTATTCATGGAGTCACGCATCTTGGCTCGCGACAGGGAAAGGCTGTTGTTGATTTAGCATCCAGGAGAAAGCTGAGTTAATCTAAGCTAGCAGAAGCTAACCTAGCATTAGCAACTCCAAAATATGGCAGAACTCCTTCAGTCTTGTGTTATTTGTTGAGATAAAATCAATGCTGGAGAGCAAACACATTCCGTGGTAGAATTACTGTTAGCCAATCAGAGGTGAGATGTCCATATATCAGGCAGTAAGACTCCTAAACCTGTTGTTTTTAAGTCAGCTCTGATCAAGATCACCTCTAGTTCCTGAAAGAGGAGTGCCAGAGCTTTTATCCTGCAAGGCATTCATATTTACTAAAAACCACTGCAAATGTGTTGAAAAAACAGACCAATAAAATGGCCTGTGTTTTTATAGCACCTTCTTAGGGTCCTACAGTAACACCATAGCACTTGACAACACAATCAGCCATTCACCCATTCACACACTGGTGTTGATGAGCTACAATATAGCCACAGCTGCCCTGGAGCGCACTGACGGAACCAGGACTGGCAAACACTGCCACCACCGGTCCTTCTGACCACCACCAGCAGGCAAGGCAGGTTTAAGTGTCTTGCTCAAGGACACAACAGCAGCATTCTCTGGCAGGAGCCGGGATTGAACCTCCAACTTTCCAATTACTGGACAACCTGCTCTTCCTCCTGAATTACTGCTGCCCCAAAGTCAAAGACTCAGCTTAAAGTTCTTGCAAAAAGCAAAAGAAGGTCAAACTTTTTGGGAACCTGTTTGATCCAGTTGTGCGCCCTCTCTCTCTCTCTTTCTCTCTCTGACACACACACACACACACACACACACACACACACACACACACACACACACACACACGCGCACGCACACGTACACGCACGCACGCACACACATACACACACTGCTCTGTTTAGCGAGATAGGATTCATCAAAGTCACCTTTGAGCTCGGTTGCCCATCTAGTGCTCGTGGTATCACACATAATGACATTCAGTGTTGCCCAGATCACATTTATGATAGCATATTTGATACAGCTGTACTCTTGCACGGAATAACACAGCCTAAAAGAACACACTCCCTACCTTCTCCTCCCCCTTCTTTCAGTTTAAACACAATCCATTTTCCAGTGTAAATCACTTGTCAGTCTATTGCAAATGTAGCTGTTGTGATCTGAAAGAGAGAGGTGGAGAGACAGAAAGAGGGAGAGTAAAGATTATCTTTTGGGCCATTTCACTGGCACCGTTGCGTGACAGAGACTGACAGCTCTTTCAGATGACTGACAGGTGTCCTTTCAAACACCGGTGAAGCAGCTTCTGTTCAGACTGTTGAAATGCATATTTGGAGCTCTTATCATAAAGGCATGGATGGCCCAGATAGGTGCCGTTAACATTGCAAATGGCTCCAGAATTATTCATTGTCAGTGCTGCGGGAAAGAATGAGAAAAGGGTGTGTGTGTGTGTGTGTATGGGAGGGTGAAGTTTGATTATTCTGCTCACACAATGGCAGGGTGCTTAATGATTCCTCTCCACCTTGGCAGCGGCATGTGCCGACTTCAGGCGCTAGCGGCGGGTGACACAGGTCTGGCCAAGTGTTAGAGCAAGATCATACGTCTGGACCCCATTTTAATTTCTAATACATTAATCTTTTCCTCACAGATCCTCCATGAATATTCCAAGGCTCCTTGTTTGTCAGGAAGGCTGTCTCGCTTTCATCTATTCAGGTGGTTTCATTCACTGTGAAAGCCAGCTAAATGGACCCGATCAGTCAATGACAACCCAGATACAATGGGGCCCCGTAACACATCCCTTTTCTCCTTTCAGGCTTCTGATAGACAACCCTGACACCTGCTCCCTGGGGACACCCTCCGCCAAGTCAGTCCACCGTTCCTTGAGAGACTTCCCTTTACTTTATCAGCCCATAAAGGATTGTCACAGGTGACTATATCTGCTGAGGTTTGGTGCTGCTCCCTCTGACCTGCCCCGGCACCGGGTGGTCGAGGCACCACGCAGCGCATCACAAGCGGATTAAGGTGGCCCAAATGCTGTCATACAAGAAGATTCCATGCTTCACACTTTCTAGAAATGTTAAGCCTTTGTTCCCATCCATTAATTAGCATTGTCTTAAGTTCATTAGACCACCGCTTGTGTTGTTATTAATGAGGTGAAGTAGGCCACCTACATACACCGTAGCTTTGTAGAGCCTGACCTGACAAGGCTTCCTGTCCATAGAACAATGACTCACACACAGTGGGAGGCAGGAGAACCGCCCAAAGTCACACTTAAACTGATTATATTTGTACATTTAAACTTTATAGGGCAAATATTATGACTTTTTTTCTTAAGTTATTATAGTTCTACGGTCGATGCAAAACATGCTAATGAAGTTTTTTAACTGAATCCCACTCACATAAAGCGATTTTAGGCTTTTTTTATTTCTGACATTTTCAGCACTTTCCAAAATGAGTTGTTTTAGGGTTCTGTCCCTTCAAGAGAACAAGCTGGAACTGGCCATGCCCACCCACCCCTCACTCGGGCTGCTATAAGCTGAGAACCTCCGATATCTGCGAGGAGCTTGGAGTAGAGTCACCGCTTGAACAGTTTGGCTGAGATGAGAATGGGTTTTATGGAATGAGACAAAAAAAAAGTTCCTGCTTGTGATGTCACAAACAGGGACTTTTTAAAATGGCTTGTTTTAGGCCCATCATTTCTAAAACCAAACACTGACAGTTTTTTTTATGTTTAAAGTGTCTTTAGAGGCAGTAGACCCATATGGCAGCACTAAAGTATGCAAATTAAGTTTGGTAAATGTCTCTTTTGAAGGCTCTTTCCGGAGTATTTCTTTTATCCGATGGCACCATCTAGTGGCTGACAAGCATATCACACAAATATTTTCTCCTTCCGTTTTTTTAAGATGGCGACTTCACGTTTCTTGTTTATAAATGTACTTCTGCAGTCGACAAACAGAGCTAAAACACATTGTTTTACAAGTATTATTCTCATGTCATGTTGAGTTCTCATTTATTTATATTTTAGAGACTTACTTGTCTGTGAAAAATCATTAAAGTCCTTAAATTTGAAGCATGGAAGCGGTAGTCTAATGCTATTGGTTAGTTCTGGTCGGCGCTCAGTTTCCTATTGCACGGAGCTCTGCGGGGCAGGGGGCTTGCAAAAAATAAAAATAAAAATAGACATATTGCTTACATTATATCACAGTACATATAAGATAATCACTTTTACGGATTTCTGAAAAATAAATACATCATTTCCAAAAGGGGAAAACTCCAGAAAGAAACTTTAGATAATTATATTGAATCTAAATCAGAATTAACAATGCTTTTTTTTTAAATTTTGGCCAAAATAGACTTTTCTGTTCCTTCAGAAAAAAAGAATATGTAAAAGTTTCTTTACTTTCCCACAAGATGTTTCTAGGCAGTGCACTTGTGTTAGACCCAAATGAGCCAATCAGTCAAAGCTCCCTTTTTCCACAGTTAAATGAGACTCACAGGGGCCTGTATTCTAAAGCGGCGCCACACAGAACCATAACTCAACACCCAGAGCACCCCAACAGTGGAAACCTAAAAACTCATTGGCACATATGGATATTAGAAGTGTCAAGCCCCGTGATGTAGATTAGGTGCCATTCATAATCATCATATCTGATTTAGGCTCAAATCGGACGCTCTAAAGGGAAAACGAGGGGAGAGCACCAATATTTTAATGGAGAAGAGACAGCCTTCTCCCTCAAGGAACATCTCCACTGACAGTGGCTGCTGGAAAATTGGGATTTATACTTCCTGTTTTCTATTAATATGGAGATGAATACAGGTGTTCCTGTGTCGTAAAATTAGTTTAGCTCTTGCATATTGCAATTATACGTGTTGAGAGGAGAAAAGCCAACCCTGTTCATGTTCAGAGGCGAGAGGAAATGGGAGGAAAAATATCAGGATTTTAAAATGAAAATAATAACATGTAATTCTAAGTTATTTCCCCTTCGGCCCAGTTTGGTAACGGTGGCTGGTGTGGTGGAGGCACAAAGCTGACATAAACACCCTTCGTTGTTTTCTACTCAGGGAGAAAAAAACAGCAAATAAAATGCAAAGATTATTTTTTTTTTTACTAGAGACTTGAGCTTCTAGCCTCATGAGAGGCATCCAGAATTCCCTGTTTGCCTTTTTGTGGAATGTTGAGCAGAAGACACTGGTGAATATTCCTGGTGGGAATGTACCATTTAAAATCCTGTTAACTTATGGCAGGAGTACTTCAGTCAATGGAGAAGAAAATAACTTCTTCAAAATTGTGTGGTACAGTATATTGAAAAAAATCTGTATTCATGCAATCACATATTAATGAAAAATGTGCTGTTTTTGAAGTGGAATCTGATTTATATTCATTAAATCCTGCTAGAATTACAGTGTATTTCTTATTAAAATCAATACTTTTTAGTAAAATTCTCAAAATCCTTTTACAAATTTACCTTTAAGCCCATTTCTAATTAGGATTCACAACTGCTTTACGTCTGTATAATACATAAAAAGCTACATTTCACAATTTAGCAGAGACACATGAAGTATGGGGGAGTAGAGACTTGCCAAAGTGTGAAGAAGTGTAATTCACCTGCACGATAAATAAACCTTATGGAATTATTGCAATAAAATCAATACATATTAAGGTGCCTAAAGTTAGAGAATCGGCGTCTCTCCCCTGCAGATATTCCAAAGGTGACTCCTCTCCCACTCCGTGACTTAATCAGTATCAATGTAGTTTCAGTTTCAGTGCATTAGGAAGCAGCAGCAACACGGGTTTCATAACAAGACATGAAAGCAGCAGCGTTCACCTGGCATCAGGCTAACTTTCTCCCCTCAGCCAATCGAGTGGCTGTGGCATTGAGGCAAGACATTAATTCACTGTGTCAACCTGTCCCCCTGGAATATTTATGATGCTAAATACATTTAATTAGGCTCTAGGAGCTCTGATGGGAGAAAGAATGCACTGACAGTGGAGTAAAAAAAAGATTTTGTTACCTCTAATGCTGATAGGCTGTTAATGCTGCACACTTATTCTCGGTGACAAGAGAACCAATGTGAATGGCTTCGAATCAACTGTGGCATGCCGTTATGTTGTTATCATAGCACCTTAAAACTACAGATGCTTAATGTAGCATGCATTAACTTGTGTCATTAAATCACCTGTGCTGAGGCTGCAGGAAAGATGCTAAGAGGGATGTACGAAAATACAAATTCACTCAAATATTGTACAAATTTTTGTTTAAAAGTGAAAATTTACATGCAGTCATTTACTTTTTGTCTTTTGTGTGGTGCAATTCAAACTCCGACTGCTAGGTGGCAGCAGCTTTTACTGCCTTCGTTCGAGCTCGGGTCCGACGCCGGCACGTCGTCCGGGCCGAGCCTCCCTACCACCTTCCCCCGCTGGAGGCGTCCACCTCCGCCGTGTGAGCCCCTGGGTGCGCGGCATGGACGCGGGCAGCTCGGATGAGACCTCTCTCGAGAGTGTCCTCACCGGCAGCCGCGCCTGCAACTGTGCGGGGCTCGGCAGAGACGGCCGCCCCCTCCACCCCCTCCCACCGGCGCCCTTAGAGGAGCGTCAGAAAGGGTGGAAAATGGAGGAGGGACGACGGCTGTGTCAGGAGAACCAGAGGATGGTGGCAGCACCGGGTCCGTCGCGACGGGCATCCCGTTGTCTGCACTTAGGAGGACGAAGGCCCGGGTCGACGGAGTCGACCAAGGCCTGCGACAGCCCCAACCGCAGGAGAGGAGACCTCTCCTGATTGATTTGGAAAGCCACCCTCAGACAGGCATAGCCCCGGGAGGAACCCGGGGCCGCAAGGTGCGTTCGAAGTGTCGATGATCAATGTGTCCTGCAATTCACATTAGTTCTCGCAGCTAGCTGCGTTCTTCATCGACGCACGAGCCGAGTGATCCACCGCTAAGAGTTGTCCAGTTTTTGGTTTGCGGGTCGACTGGATCAGAGAACCTACGGAATGAGATCTGGCTTCTGACCAGAGTATTTCAATTAAACTTAGTTGTAAAAATTTCTAAATATCGTCTGGCTTTTAGTATCGCGATATATATCATATCATGATATTATTGCCAATACACACCCCTAGATGCTAATATTACAAGCACAGCTTTGTAATAATATCATCTAAGGGTGTTTATTGGCAATAATCTGGCTTTTAGATCCACAACGTATCGTATCGTGATATTTATCGTAATGTCAGATTATTGCCAATACACACCCCAAGATGATAATATTACAAATCAGCATTTGTTGATTCACTTTGTGTTTAATAACATTAAAGGAGACTAATTTAAATCATTTTCCCATAAATAAAACCAAGAAAATGAAAAAACAGGCTATGATGCATTGGCTGACAGCCTGGAGTAAAGTGAGACATCATGTCTGCGTGCGATAAAACATGGCCGGAGTAAATAATAGTCAGTTTCCATCTTGACATCTGTCATCCGAGTGGAAATGGATGGGGAAATGACCGTCTCTCTATCGGCCAAGCGTCGTCGGGCTGAATGATGCAAATAGAAGATAATATCAGAGTTATGCTGAATGGCATTACTTCAAATCTAATGTCATTAAAAAAAGGGTGGGTATTAGCTCTGCTGTCTAGAGGTGCTGGTGTGGGCTGCTCCAGCTTGACTGACACACAGATTAAGTGCAGTGACAGGGAGCACAATAAAGTCATCAGAGAATGTGACATGTCAGTTAGGAGGGGTATGAAGGGACGAATTGTCACTCTGTCAGAGCCCATCCTCTCGCTTATCCGTGATGTCCCATACACCACCGTGGGAAAACAGCACGGATCGGCCACGTCAGACAAATATTTATTCAGGTAGGGGGATAAGGATACCCACTCAAGCTCTTCTTGTTCGCCACGTGTTCGTAAATTTACCACCAGAAGGGGA